TAATAATAATTATTATTATTATTATTATATTTGGGCCAAGTCAGGGAAGTTGGGGCGGGGACAATTTGGGGCCCGGGCGAGGCAAGACCATTCCCATCCCCTAATTCGGGGATTGATTTTCAGCCTGGGCTCGACCCGAACCCCGAACCATTCAAGGAAACTTCGCCCCGTTTGGGTCGGGTCTCCCATATGGCGGGGATTATGCCCATCCCTATACATGATAGTTAGGCGTTGAATACATGATAGTTACAAGCTAAATACGTGATAGTTACATGCTGAATATGTGATAGTTATGTGCCAATTATATAATAATTTGATCAAATAAATTAATCAACATACTCTCCCCAAAAAAAAAAAAAAAAAAAAAGAACTAGCTTATATCTATTGAAACAAAACAGATTGNTAAGTTTATTGCTTTCGGTAAAATTTGATTAATTTTTTTCAAGTTTAATGCTAAACATTTCTAATTCTGCATATTGCAAATCAAACAAAAAAAGTTATATGTTGAATACGTGATAGTTACGAGTTGAATACGTGATTAGAGATGGGCACGAACCCGGTCGAAACCAGGGACCCCTGTCTCTGACCCCAACCCGAAAGTGCAAGGGGATTTCTTGGTCTCGGCCCGAAGCCCAAACAAAGAATTCGGGGAATACCCGAATTAGGCCCAATTCCCAAACGGTGAATTTTGGGAATCTCCGAGTTTTGTATCCTTGAGCCTACCTTATCATTTTCTCCAAATTATAATGAATATTAAATTTATAATGTACATATTAAAAATAATACATATATATATTTATAATGGTTTATTATATTTAATCTATTATTATTTATTACTCATTTATATATGGTTTCATAAAATGTTCACACAATTATAATTTGGTTTTGTATAATTTATGGATTCATTGATTGATTTTCAACTATGCAAATTAATATAGTATTAAATGGTTAAAATTAAACCTTACTACAAATACTAATAATAATAATAATATTATTATTATTATATTTGGGCCAAGTCGGGGCGGGGACAATTTGGGGCCCGGGCGAGGCGAGACCAATCCCATCCTCTAATTCGGGGACTGATTTTCAGCCTGGACTCGACCTGAACCCCGAACCATTCAAGAAAACTCTGCCCCGTTTGGGTCGGGTCCCCCATATGGCGAGGATTATGCCCATCCCTATACATGATAGTTAGGTGTTGAATACATGATAGTTACAAGCTAAATACGTGATAGTTACGTGCTGAATATGTGATAGTTATATGCCAATTATATAATAATTTGATCAAATAAATTAATCAACATACTCTTAAAACACTTCCAAATAAATTAATCAACATACTCTGCTAGAAGGGATTTGTAATTTGCTTTAAATTGCCATTTGATGGCAATTAAACTTTAAGTTTATTGCTTTNAATATTGATGGATATCTGAACCAAACACAATTTTTACTGTACCCTTTATTGAGAAACTCATTGACAGTTTTTTAAAGACTGAACCAAACGGACCCAAGAAGATTACGATTTTGAATTATCACACTATAATCATGTGTATTCATTGGTCGACCAATTATGTTTTACTTTTATGTAAAGATAGAACATAATTATGAATACAACTGATATTTATTATAAATGAGATTGTTAGAAAAAAAATGTGATAAGTAATCTAGGGTATTGCATACAACATACAACCTAAGTTTCACAATTCAAGAAGTTACATTTTCCTAACAGATATATGACTAATGTGCTCTCGAAGTATGCATGGTCACACGACATCTTTACTAAAGTATGAACCTTAAAGAAGCACAGAGAGAGATGGTCCCATCATGTGTGAGTGGGAGATATTGGATAAGGGTGAGCACCCATGATGGATTAACCCAAACGACGTGTGAAGTGGAAACTGCCAAAGGTAGTTTTTCGCCTAAAAATATGCTTGGTAATTGCCGCTCATATATAAGTAAAGTTTTTTCTTTTAGAAAAAAAAGATTCACTCTCTCTCTCTAAAAACACTGTTTAAGAAAATTCTCTACGGTAGTTTTTTCTCTCCAAATTCAATTTTTGCTTCAGAGTTAAGGAGAAGAGGTATTTATGCTATGAAATTCATTGTAATTCGTTTATGTAAAAAATGTGATTGCAATTGGTGACTATTAACATGATCTTGGGATTAGCTTAGAATATTTGTTATTCTGAATTTTTTCCAACAGTTTAACATTTATTTATACAAGAAGTCAAGAAATCCATACAGGAACAAAACAACAAGATTATTGATACATACATGACCTCAAGATACAAATCCCCAAACAAAGAGTAGAAATACATAAACAATAAAAACAAAAAAGCCAATTAAACAAAGACAGCAGCAAGAAAGCGCATAAAAACCATTGAAATGCAATAAACAAAAGAAATGCGAGAAAGAAAGCATCAACAACCCATTGTCCTCGGCTCTTGGCCTAGCCCTCCCCATTTGATTAAGCCTTTGCACTAGTCTTTCATTAGATTGCCTTTGTAGGATCTGCTGGTTTTGGAGATTTGCCTGTGTTGCAATTTCATCTTGAAACTGTCCAATTGTTGCTTATTTTTTTTCAAGTTTAATGCTAAATATTTCTAATTCTGCATATTACAAATCAAACAAAAAAAAGTTATGTGCTGAATACGTGATAATTACAGGCTAAATACGTCATTGTTATGTGCTAATTATATTATAATTTTATCAAATAAATTAATCAACATACTTTTAAAACATTTCCAAATAAATTAATCAACATACTCTCTCAGAAAAAAAAAAAAAAAAAAAAAAAGAAACTGGCTTATATCTATTGAAACAAAACAGATTGGGCATATTATGGGCGGAGACAGTGGTGGTAGAGGACAGCCAGTGGTGGGAGAGAGTTTTCTATTTAAGGGAAGGAGAGCAATTCCAATTTTTGATTTAGGAGAAAAAGTTTGAATTTTAGGAAAAATTAATTTTGGGAGAGAGATTTGATTTAAGGGGAAAGGAATTTGAATTTGGGTTTAAAATTTTTTTTTTTTTTTTAATTTAGGGGGAAATGATACGAAAATTCGGTGATGTGACAAATGATGTGACATATATCACTTGAGTTGTCACATCGTGATGTGAGAAGTTAGTATAAACCTAATATATTGCCAATTGACGACAATTAAATTTTAGGTTGATTGCTTTTGGTAAAATTTGAATAATTTTTTTCAAGTTGAATGCTAAACATTTCTAGTTCTGCATATTACAAATCAAACAAAAAAAAGTTGTGTTGAATACGTGTTAGTTACATGTTGAATACGTGATAATTAGATTAATTACAGACTAAATACGTCATTGTTATATACCAATTATATTATAATTTGATCAAATAAATTAATCAACATACTTCTAAAACACTTTCAAATAAATTAATCAACATACTTTCTATAAAGGCAGTATTATGGAAGGAAGAAACAAACTTTCACCATAGTTGTTGAGGAAAGAAGACACCAGCTTCCATCATGGTTGTTGAGAAAATACATGATTGGCCAAAGATAATATTGCTCGACATGATTTGGATTCATTAATACGTTTCTCTCGGGTTTGGCCCGGCCTTGTCGAAATCCCCGTAATATATAAAAAAAAGGTTAATAAATTCAAATATTTTTAAGAAAATAAATTAATTTTTAGTATTAGGTTGCTCCAGTCTCATAAATACTTTATACTTATTATCAAAGTGAATAAGTTATAATATTAGAATATTCAAACGAATCTGCCATGAGAAGATTAAATGAATATAGTTAAAGAGATATAAAAAAAAAAAAGTTCATAATTTATTTTAAAGTCTCAAGCCATTTTCCATAAGGAAGGGAATACAAATTACACCCAGTAAAACAAAATAATACTAAATCAGTAAAAATATACCATCTGCCTCTCATAAACTTAATATTTAGTATATCCTAATTTTAACATCTCCTCTTCATAAATTTGCAGCATGCTAAAAGCTTAGGCTGCTGTAGTGATGTTGGTTCTGGTGCTATTTTCCTCCCATTAACACGAAAGTTTTAACTAAAATGGGGTTTAGAAAGAGTTCTAACGTGATTCAAACAACATTAGTTTAAATAAATATAATCAATACCAAGGCCGTAAATTGAAATGAGGCATAAAATTCAGATACATTTCATACGATAGTTCGTTTACCAAAAAAAAAAAAAAAAAAAAAAGAAAAGAAAAAAAAATCTAAACAATCGGGGAATTGGGAGCAGATTGAATTAAATTTTGGGGAATGCCCTGATGTATTTTCTATTTGGGGATGGCATCTACACTTTTTGCAATTCCTAGCTTAGGTTTTGGTTTCGGCGGGAGAGTTGGTTATGAGTTGAACTGAAAAATAACCATGCCAGTTAACGGCCCAAATACCTTTATTCCCCTCCCCCCACGACCCAGCTGGTACGCCCAGTCTGAATTTATGCATGGGGTTGACAGCCACGGTACTCGAACCCAGGCACTGGAGATGGAAGTCTGGCTCTGATACCAATTGAACTGAAAAGGATATCCTGTCCAGTTAACGGCCCAAATACCTTTATTCCCCTCCCCCCACGACCCAGCTGGGGCGCCCAGTCTGAATTTATGCATGGGGTTGACAGCCACGGTACTCGAACCCAGGCACTGGAGATGGAAGTCTGGCTCTGATACCAATTGAACTGAAAAGGATATCCTGTCCAGTTAACGGCCCAAATACCTTTAATGTGAGATGCAGGTCATGGTGAAGCATATTTGATACTGAGAATTTGACTAGAAAATGAAGAATGGGGATTTTTGATGTTTGATTGAGAAACAACTTTTTATTTCTGAAAATGAACTACTTTCAAAAATCTAAATCAATAAAATAATAGATCTACTGCTTTTCGTTAAATTAGATTAAAAAAATTCAAGTTTAATCCTATTTTATGAAAACCAAATCAGTCTCGTTAGTTTTTAGTTCTCATCTACGGATAGTATTTTGTTTCTCAAACTTAGATCAAAGTATAATGCAATAAAATCACCACCACATTGTTACATAAGTTCATCAAAGGATAAAGCTCATAATATATATTCCCCAAAACATGTCATATTTGTATACCAAATGAAATTCCATGATCAAACAAGATAAGGAGCCTCTTCACAAAATCAAATTTCCACCTTTCCATAATCAACAAGATAATGACTTCATTCTATACCATGCATTTAAGATAGGTAACTGGCCATGATGAGTTTTAGCTCAAACCCTCAACTTCAGGTCGCATAGCATAAGTTTGTGTTGGTACCTGAACAGACAGAACGTCTGTCATCATGCCCATCAGCTTGTTTCGTCCCTCATCAAAGCACGTATCTTTTCTTACACCTTGTTCTGATATTCCCATTTGCGAGCCAGCGGTAGTCCCTTGACTCAATCTGTAGCTTGCTGCAACATTGCCTGGTATTCCGACACTGCTACTTTCGAGGCCACTCTTAATCCATGCAATGTTGTTCAAATCTGTAGCTATAGAGATCAATTCATGACTTGCGAAAGCAGGAGGCTCCTCATAATCAACAAACTCAGGTCCCAGTAGTGAGCCATGTGAATGGTGCCCTAATGGAGATGCACAGCAACCATACCCACATTGTGAAGGAATAACAGGCTCACTACGAACATCTTCTAGGAATTTGTGACCAAAGTCAGGTCTGGGTACTTGAACCAAAGGTCCCTGAGTTGGGATTGTACACGGAATCTCAGAGCTGGCTGTTGGGCCACTTGGAGGGTTATAAAAACTAAAAGCACTAATACGAGGAACTGGACGGGGAAGTGTAGGATGCTGTTCTGGTCCAGAACCACATTCGGTTTCCTTTCTTTGAGCTATCCCTTCATGCATATTTGGTCCGTCATTCATTGTGATGTCCCTTCCTTCTGGGGGATTGAATGGGCTTATATTACCAACTGGACATGATAAGGTAGGATGATGGTTTGGTCCAGCAGGAAACTGACACTCCTTTGTTTGAGCTATGTCTTCATGCTGGTTGGGACTATCATCCATCATGACATCTCTTCCTTCTGGGGGCCTGAATGAAATAACATCCCCAGCAGACAGGGTTTCTTCTGAGGATGCCTTTGTTCTGTCATGACTCCCGTCTTCCATCATGTCACCAGACCCCGGTTTAAACCTTCCAATCTCTGCATTTCTGCGCCTTAGGGTTGAATTCCAGTGGTTCTTGATTGCATTGTCTGTTCTACCAGGCAGTAGCCTCGCAATTGCTGCCCATTTGTTCCCATGGACTGAATGGGCTTGAATTATAATACGATCCTCTTCATCTGCAACAATTCAATTACATGATTTCATTAAAATTCACACATAACCATCACATCAATGATTAAAATAATGAGTACCGAACAAGAAACTGCATGTCTACTTCAGGTTACATGCAGAAATCTACTCAGAGAAATGCAAATGACAGTTCACAAGTACTACCTTTTCATAATATAACTTCTTTTCATCTCAAGAAATGGAATGGTAGGGAAACTGTGAAAAAAGAAGAATGCACGTACCAAGCTTGCAACTTTTTACATGTACAACAAACACTACCAGAGGATGCCCCTTCCAAAAGATAGAAACATAGACCAAACATTTACCAATGCTATCTCACTTCCATTCCTTAAGGAATGGCAAGCCAACTCTTAATTACAGCAGGAATAATGCTACGTGACTATGTACAAAGTCAATATGAAAACATTAAATTCATAATCTACTCATATTCCCACCCCTTTCACAAAAATAATCTACAACAGAAACCATATCTAAGTCTAAGCCTCTATGTGCGGCATCATCCATACTAAAAGTCCTTTTCCAGCTTGCAATTTCTGACAGCTGTAAAAAGCCAAATAAAGAGTTCACTGTACCATGGAACTACAATAAAAGAAGTTTAGCAACCTCAGTTTCAATATTGGAGAAACAGAAAAGAAACATGTACATATCATCCATTAAAATCTCAAGTCTCAGTGAACCAATTTAGGTTGAGCTGGCAAAAGACAAAGTAATGCATCAAAGGTTGCACAAATTAAGTAGATATGTCTATGCAGACACATCTCAAACCCATATGCATCTCTCTTAAGTCTGTCAACACTTGTGCCAGCACAAGGTAAGAGAAATGGATCAGGAGAGAGTCCCTCTGAAGTTCAACAATACTACTGATCCATTATGAAGTTGACCATCAACACACATTATTTTGAGCAATACAGCTTGTCAACAAAAATTCAAATAGGAAAGGAAAAATAAGACAAAAACACATACAGGAGCATTACCGTGATGGATCACATCATCCGCATGTATAAATAGAAATAATTTTTGATGGACATGTAAATGGTGGCAATAGTTCACAAAATATTTGAAATCAGTGGTGTTACTTGATAAACATGCCTGTTCTTCAATTAAGACAGGTCACAATCTTGAGTATTATAAGGGTTACTTCTCTTCTATGTACACCTTACGATCCACACCAGAATATCCTTGATCAAAAGCTTGAATGTGTCAAGGTAGAGACGGATAGTTGTAACCTCTTATCGATATTTTACCAAAACAATAACACATTTTCTTGGCAATCCATAACTGACTATTTTCTAGCACAAGCTCAAGTGCACATGTGAGTGATCTTCGATATTTTCCAAAAATAATAACACATCAATCACCAAAAACATCAGAAACTTCTTTATCCAATTAAACAGAAGGATAATGAACAGACTTAATAATCTCTTCACCAATCTTTATACTTTGTTTCATTCTCACATCAGATTTGCTCTTTCCTTCTAATGTTTAAAAGTTTATGCTTTTTCCATACTATTTACTCTTTATACTTGGATTCATTCTAACATCACATTTCTTACAACCCATAAAAAGCATTCCACCATACTCAAGTTACCTATTGATTGAAAAATACACCCATCATGCCCTTGGTTTTCAACCAATGTAAAGGTTAAACTCAAACACAAGAGCTTCAAGTAATTGACAACATACTAAACACCTACATCTCGGAAAGGGACTACCAACACTAGTGCGACAAAAACAACAGGATATTCAAAGGTGCGCTGTGATATTGTCTCAATAGAGGTTCCAAACTTCAAAGTATTCCAATAGTTCTGTCACTGTCATTTGAGCCTTTTACCAGCAAAAATTCCCAAATTAATGGTATTGTTGATTGCAACTATTGAATCAAAACAGGCAATATCTGTGTGGTAAAGATGTGAGACTCAACCAAATAGCTCAAGTAAATAAATCATCAACGTACTTCAACACAAGTAGCAAAAGTCATAACATAAATAAATAAATAAACACTAGTTACTTAGTGAAGATGGCATAAACAACTAAATAACATATCAATAATTGCCATGTAAATAAACACATGGCAAAAACCTAATACTGAATTCTGAACATCTTGAACCAAAAAACTCTCCAAAAATTTATCAAAAATGTTTCATTCTACTACTTTCATACTAGCCACGACTCTCCTGAATTCTCCATTACGATCCTTCCCCATAACAAAAACATATTCATAACCAATCAATTAAGTAACAAAATAACACTATACAATTAAATAAAATGATATTAAACACAACTCTGGAGATTTAAACAAGCAAGCAAAACCACCATCACAAGCGTCAATGCAGATTAAGAAACCTCCCAATTTCAAATAAACTACAACATTCACAAAATTCAGGAAGAAACACAAAAAACAAAAACAAAACAAAAATTCATTCTTTTCCACATGGTAAAATTAAAAAATAAAGAAAAAGAGCTCAATACAAACATAAACACGAGATAAAGAAAGATTTGGAAAAAAAAAAGTTACCAGTGAAAGGCTTGCGCTTAAGGCAAGGGTCAAGCTGATTACACCAACGAAGTCGGCACGATTTTCCAGACCGACCGGGAATTCCTCGCGCGATCATCCCCCAATTCCTCGCCCCAAACTGACTCACCAGTCGACTAAGCACTGCGTCCTCCTCCGGCGACCACGGCCCCTTCACTCTACTACCTCCGCCATTACGACTCCCCTCTCCACTTCCACCACCTCCACCATCTCCGGCGGCGCCGACCTCCGCAAGAACCTCCGCATCACCGTTGCTATCGTTCTCTTTATCGGTCATTGTTTCGGTTTTTTGTTACCAGTTGCTTTGTTTTTCTGTTTTGTGTTTGTTAAGAGTAGTACCTACCTGCCTAACTGCAAAATGTGCGTAAGTGGGAGCGATTTAAGGGAAGCGAATGTTTCTGATTCTTTTGTTTTCACGTTTTTGTCAGGCGGTTTTTTTCAAATGACTATCATGTCCTATTAAAACGACGCCGCTGGAGTGCTGTTGGCCTCAAACGCCGTCGTTTCACATGCTGTCACTGGAGTTTGACTTGGTTGACTTAGTGTAGCGGTGACTTGGGCAGTGGGGTAAGGATGTTTCAAAACCTTTTAGACTTTTGTTTGAAAGTGAGACCAGTCTTATGTTAGAATTTTGGCCCCTATATTTTAATGAATTTACGAAAAAAAATCACTGGTGCTATTGTAAATAAAGTGATTTCTTTAGGCTATTGTATTCCTTTGGAGGTTCTGTTATTTGGTAGGCCAATCAAACCGCCTTGAGATTTTAAAAGTGGAAAATAATAATGACACTGATATAATAAAATGACATATTTACCCCTAATATGGGCTGCAAATTGGATTTTTTAAAGCCCACAGCCTAACATTTCAGTTGCCAGTTTTGGGCCATTGGGCTACTCTCTTGTGGATTGTTTTTTGAAAAAATTGGGCTTTAAAATAATTTAAATTGTATTTGAGTTTTTTTTTTGTTTTCTTCTAAATTCTGATCAACATAAATTAAATGAAAGCCATTACAAAAAGGGAAGGCTAATAGGCCTAAGTTTGTTGTATAAGGGAGCGAGGAGGATAAAATAATAATAATTGGCTTTGTATGTTTCCTTATTTTTTTCCTATTCTATTCATATCATTTAAAAAATACACATTTGTTTCCTATTTTGAAAATATTATTATATTTTATTCAATTTTTTAGGCATCTTAAGTTTGTTAATTTAACTAAACACTCCCCTAAAAAAGTTTAAAAATTAACAAAAACACCCCCACCTACCCACATTTGTCAGATTTGGACCACCATCAGCGGTGGTGGTCGGAATCTGGTATAATGACGTACTACCGACTTGATCTAGCTGGTAGTGCGTCAATCTAGCCTTTTTCGACCAGATCAATTGTGGATCTGGCCATAGCTAGTTGTAAGCGACGACCAAGATATGACCGTTGTTAACGACCAAACGCGAACAGATCTAGCCGTAGATCTAGTATTTTTTGGCCAGATCCATAGTAGATTTGGCTAGAAAATGTCATCTCGATGCATGACTGGCCAGTTTCAGCAGATTGTGTGCCAAAACGATGACTCCAACCACCCTCCAACGGTGGTGACCGACTGTCGGTATTTAATGGGTGAGTGAGAGTATTTTTATAATTTTTAATATTTTTATTACAGAGGTATTTAATAAATTAATAAACCTAAAGAATATTTTTATTAATTTTTAAATCACACCTCATTATTTACTTTTCCATAAATACTATCTTCAATACTAAAACCAAGGCACGCAAATAAATAAAAATTAGAATTAAAGCAAAGTGATTGATGAGTCATGATGATGCTACCTACCAAGTACTCCTGAACGACATTAATACATAACAGAATTGAATTGAATTGATCATGTGTTACTTTTTTTATTATATAGTTGTAGTACCCCCCGTCATGATCCATAAATGTCCCACTTTAATCATATAATTCATAAATAAAATTTTATTCATATGCTTAAGATTAATCGAATGAAATTATATTTAATTTGATACTTGTTTACCGTTACAACTGTTTCTTTTTAAACCAAATTATTTATTATTAAGGATATCAAAATCACCTTCCAATGAATTTTTGCCATGTGTATACTACAATGTAGATGACAGTTTAGTGCAATAAAAGTTGTGCAAAAAATACACACTAATGTATTCCCCATCAATTAAAGTTCAACATGCCCTTAAAGATAATGTGGTATTAGCTATCAAAAATCCAAATCGCCTCAAAGAGATATTTTATATCAATCTTATCTAATTTTAAGATAAGGATTAAGGAGTGATTCTCACGTATCAAGACAACTTGCAAAAACACTCATTACATTGACCTCAAAGGAATAAATTGACATCTCTCTTCATGAAAAAGGGGCTAGCTGGACATATGAGAGCTTGACAAACATTTGAATTTTATTATTTTTTCTCTGTAAACAAAATATTTCTCCATTTTTGTATGTCATACAGGTAATATCAGAAAAATAGTTAAAGAATAATAAAATAACAGTGGATGTAGGATTTGCTTTAAGCATCCGAACTACTATAAAAATCTCTCTTATCAATATTTTATTGATGTTTCATCAAGCATATATCATCTCAGTATCATAAATGCTTCTCATGAATCATTCATGTGTAATTTCTAAGAATAACTTAGCACTTTGTACATACGAGTCGTTAATGTTAAAATCAAGCATCAACAAAAACCAAAACGACAACGTAGCTCTCTAGAATCGACAACTTAAAACTTGCACGTGAGGTGGCTCCTATATGTGAGAGATATGATGAGACATGGGATATGGCTTAATTAAAGTAGGATGGTATATTAGATAGAGTGATTAAACTCCCTCACCTAATTATGCATATTTCTTTCACCTTCAAGAATTGAATGGTGGTATTTCTCATTATCTGTCAATGCCTTTCTCTTTCGTTTCTTTGTCTCCAAAATATTGTAACGATCTTATCTTCAATTAACTTAAATGCGCAGACATGGAAATGTGGGAGTCTCTTTCAATTTAAAGGTAAAAATCAAAAGAGAGACTGACTACCAGTCAATACTAAAACTCCCCTTTGGAATTATTAAATTGTAGTGGTTACATTGTCTTTCTTGTCTCTCTAACCCTAATCTAATTAATTAGGTTTTTAAAACTATTGCTATTTAAAGAAAATTATTTGAAAATTTTCTTAGCATTAGGGTTTGCAATTGGCAAAATCACTTTTGGAATGAAAATGAGATGAGCAACTCCAAAACACAAGATGGGGGTAGAATCAATTCGGATGATAGGTTAAAGAGCAACACATCGAAAATGACACTAATTAACTGTTCGGCTATAGTCGAATGACAAGACCTTATGTTACTTAAAGGTCTATATATAAAACATTTCAATATCATGAAGTAATTAACAAGAAGAATGAAATTATTTCATCTTTCATGCATGGTCCCCTCCAATAAGTTATATGTGAAAAGAATTTAAGTTGCTTAAATAAATTTGACTTAATGGATCACATGGTCATTAATGGTGTATGGAATAACTTAAAGTATATATACCTAGCTTTGTTAAAGGAAAAGAATGAATTGAAAGAAGATGAACAGACAAAATAAAGAAACTCGAAAAATTTTAAACAGTAATGGAGAGGAACAGAATAAGAACAGAAAAAAGATAGAGAGTAGTGCATGGTTTCCAACAAACAAAAGTGCATGTACCAAAGTTTGGCTTCAAAATGTCACGCCCACGCCCACGCATCAAAGAAAGAAGGTGCGGTGAAGGGGCCAATCGGGCTTTTATTTATCGACAGAAAAACGAATGCCCCGCAAATGTGTTCCATCGTGACGACAACGAGTGGCCTGGGACTTGTGGGCATGCCATCTTCTTGACGTGACTAGGATTTGCACAACTGTGAGGGATCATCTATGCATCAAGATCATCATAACTCAGATGAGATCAATCTTGGAGCAAATCTTTGGTACAACGGATGCATATACAACTAGTTAATAAATGAACACATGTCATACATGCTTATTGACACAATGCGTCCTCATTGGGTGGTTTTAGGTTACACCGAATAATTATTCTCGATCCTGATGCCATTGAATTCGAATAGGAGAAGAGAATGCAATAGCTTTTTTGCTCAACAATTTAAGGGCCCGGAGAATCTTACTTTTTAATAGAAAAAAAGAGAAGAGTAGTATAGTTTATTCTTGGAGTGATGCAATTTAATGGTATTTTCAGAGAGCTTTGTCATGAAGAATAATTTAAGAAGGCAAAAGGGTATGCATTTATATTTTGATGTTGGTATAGAGGCCAAGTGACCATGACTGAAAACCAAACTCCTGGTAAATAAAATAGGAGAAATTAATAATTAATCAACATGTATATTATAGATAAGCGTTAGGTTTATTCCATGGCAATTGCATCAGATTGATGGGTACTACTAATTAATGGAATCCAATGTGACAAATAGAGAGTCATCTTCATCAAAATCCAGTAATAAACATACCGGCCAAAGAAGATGAAAATAATGAGGAATGAATGAAAAAAAAAATCTTCAATGGGTTCTGCATCGCAGGGTCCCAAAACCCTAATTCCTTATCAGACACTTGATGTCCCACTTCTTACACACACCTGATTGAAAGCTGTAAGATTTCATACAAAAACAAACAAGTTGAAGTGGGGTAGCTAGGTTAGGATATTGTCCTTAATTATGAGAAATCCTCTCAATTAAATTTTGACACGGTAACTCCGTTACCCCATGCGCTTGAAGAGAATTAAAACAACATTAATGTCCACCTTCCAAATCCACATCATTAATATTTTTAATTAGGGTTTAATAGTTGTTATTAAGTTGCAGTGCGGGTCGTGCAACAGGGGCATCTTAGGTGGTTTTTTTCCCGGTTCGTTGGCCCTTTTTCGGTCATTCCTTAATTGATCATATTAATTTAGTATTAACCTAATTAGAAGCATGATTAAGAATCAACGTTTGCTGAATTTTCAGTTTCCATCATAAAGATTTACGTGCAGTTTGTTGGACTGGTTAATTAATTAAGAAGTTGTTATCATGGTTGACAAAAACTTAAACGAATCGAAGAAGAATTATGTACTTCTTAATCTTAATTAATTTAATTTTCTTTCATAATACAATCTGATTAGGCAAAGTGGTACCATTTTGAAAAGAATAATGAAAGAGTTATCAATTAGTTGCTAACTTTTTACCAACTCCTCAAATTTCTAGATTCATAGAAGTCACATCTCTAATCTCTTCAGGTTCAAGTCACCAAGAAGATAGATATCATTAAAATCTCTTCACCAAGAATATATATATGTGTTAATTTTCATGTTGCAGCC